TTGTTGCAGCTGAACCCTTTGAGGACCACCTGGTTCTTTCGGTTGAGGATCGTGTCGGTCCTGGCAAAGATGAGATAATTGGGAGGGCCATCATCCCGTTAAGCTCTGTGGAGAAGCGTGCTGACGATAGGATAATTCATTCTTGTTGGTTTAACCTGGAAAAGCCAGTTGCTGTGGATGTAGATCAGCTGAAGAAAGATAAGTTCTCTAGCCGTATCCATCTTAGAGTCTGCTTAGATGGAGGATACCATGTTCTTGACGAGTCAACTCATTACAGCAGTGATCTTCGTCCTACAGCAAAACAGCTTTGGAGGCCTTCTATTGGGATGCTGGAACTTGGCATCTTAAATGCTGTAGGACTCCATCCTATGAAAACACGAGATGGAAGGGGTACATCGGATACATACTGTGTTGCAAAGTATGGTCACAAATGGGTCCGGACACGCACCCTTATCGACAACCTGTCTCCCAAATACAATGAGCAGTACACATGGGAAGTTTTTGATCCAGCTACAGTTCTTACAGTTGGTGTATTTGACAACAACCAGCTTGGGGAAAAAGGTTCAAGTGGAAAGGATCTAAAGATTGGAAAGGTTCGGATTCGCATCTCCACACTCGAAACTGGGCGTGTTTATACGCACTCTTATCCCTTGCTGGTTCTTCATCCTACTGGAGTTAAGAAGATGGGGGAGTTGCATTTGGCAATCAGATTTACATGCGTATCTTTTGCGAACATGCTTTATCAGTACTCACGACCACTTCTACCCAAAATGCACTATATCAGGCCTTTCTCTGTGATGCAACTAGATATGCTTCGCCACCAAGCTGTCAATATAGTGGCATTACGATTAGGTCGGGCAGAACCTCCTCTTAGGAAGGAAGTGGTGGAGTACATGTCAGATGTGGATGCACACCTCTGGAGCATGCGCCGAAGCAAGGCAAATTTCTTTCGATTAATGACAATTTTCTCAGGGTTATTTGCAGCTGGAAAGTGGTTTGGGGATATTTGCATGTGGAAGAATCCTATCACTACCGTGCTTGTTCATGTGCTCTATCTCATGCTTGCTTGCTTCCCAGAACTTATTCTGCCCACAGTTTTTCTTTACATGTTTCTGATAGGCATTTGGAATTACCGATATCGACCAAGGTATCCTCCCCATATGAACACAAAGATTTCACAAGCTGAGGTAGTGAATCCTGATGAGCTTGATGAGGAGTTTGATACATTCCCAACAAGCAGGAGCCCTGAGCTGGTCAGAATGAGGTATGATAGGTTACGAAGTGTTTCTGGAAGGATTCAAACAGTTGTGGGGGATATAGCAACCCAAGGAGAGCGATTTCAGGCACTGTTAAGCTGGCGCGATCCACGCGCCACTGCCATCTTTGTTATATTCTGCCTCGTAGCTGCTCTGGTTTTATTTGTGACACCATTTCAGGTCATAGCAGCTTTGGCTGGCTTCTACATGATGAGGCATCCAAGATTTCGCTACAGGACACCGTCTGTGCCCATAAACTTCTTTCGCCGGCTTCCTTCTCGGACAGATAGTATGCTGTGAATTGGGAACTGGATGCTCGCACTTTCAAGTTAGAATTTGTAAGTGCTTCACTCTAGTTCTTTGTATTGTTTCCTTTGCACTTCTCGTTCACAATGGATTGACCATGAATGGTGTAGACTGCGAATAATTTGTATCTGGCATGTGTGCCGTGTGGCCATACAGAAGTAGCATAAGGAGTTGTTAAATAGAATTTGATTAGAGCATAAACTCTGTCGATGTTTCTATAGGTTGCTTCTTTTCAATTTCTAATCCCCTCCCCCCTCCCCCTTCGCCCTGAACAACTCTGGGTTCTCAATTTCATATGACAGTGTCTGATGCAATATACTCATGAAGATGTTTAGGGGTAGTAGGAGATTATTTATGAATTCAGACTTTTTCTCATTCTTTATTATTACCGCTCCAGCATATCCTCTGATGAAGTGGAAGTCTTAGCACCAAAAACATTTCCTTCTCAGTTCTACCATTTTTATTTATTTATTTATTTATTTTTGTGATTAACATTTCCTACCCTCTCGATGCCCTTCATTTTGTTTCTCCCACTTCCAATGAACTTTACTCTGATAATCTGATAATCCATAGAATTACCATGTATGATTTATAAGCTCATTCCGAAAGTCAGTTACCTACTAATAAGCTGTGGGAATTAGTCAAGATCCATATAAACTGGTCCAGGCATCTTATATAAATAATGAAAAAAGAAAACTAAGCTCGATTCAGATGAAGTTACAATTGGAGAAGCAACTTTTTGTGACACAAGCCATCGCCAAGAGCTCATTTTATAGAAGACAACTGCCGTTCCTGTCCAAATATTGAAAAATTACAGTAATGAGGAGAAAATAGGAGGGAAGGGAATCATACTGTTAAGATATATATATATATATATCTTGTTTTATTTATTAAAGATAGAATATGATTTTTAATTTAATTTATGTATAATTTCTTTGTATTCAGGTTAATTGAATATTTCAGAATATAGTAAATAATGAAAATCTCACTTTTTTTTTATATTTGTAGTTATTTTTTGTTAATTTGAATTGTTTTAACAAAGACCATTATTAATAAGAAACTGGGGTTTGATCTTCCATGGTGACATGGTCTGTTCATAACAAACGACGTGCTTTTCTTTTGATAATCATACAGGACAACAATTCAACAGCGTGCAAATGACATGTTATACGTTGGCAGGGCTTGCTCATGAATGTTCATTTTTAAAATGCGCCTATTGTTTGACCTAAAAATAGAAGCAATCCACATCAGGATTTAGGTCTCTAATATTCTTATAGTAGTGCTGAAATTATGGATGTCAATGTACTGTAACGTGCATACAAGTTAGGCACTTACCATCTACGTGCAACCAAGTTAAGAAACTAGAGCATAATTGTTGTTGAGATGCTCCCTACCCCTAGTAGAAAACCAGAATCAAAGCCATGGATTAGCAACCTTCTTTCCGAAAAATGGCTGTTTCCATTAACAGAAGGAAATCTAAACCATCCAAAAAAGCAGAAACAAATGAACATTGTTCCTGTGGTACTTTCCTTTTCAAAATTCTGTCTCGAATCCCCCTTGGCATTCTTCTTTTGATTCTTGTGTACCTGTGGTCCTCCTCCACCACCATTATCTCTGGCAAGATTGTTCATATCTGTGTTTCCTCGCGGAAGCTCAACAATCTTTACTGCCTGTCCGCAGGTACTCAGCCTAACTTTGAAATCCCTGTTCCGCTTACCAACAATAGTTTTACTAGCAATATCAAAGATATTGATGCTAGTCCTAGCACCAATAGTAGTGTTGCAGTGTATGTGAAGGCCGCTAGTACTCATGAACGCATCACAGATAGCAAAGAGATCGCCAATGCTCTTAGTTCCAGCACCATTGGCAACATCAAAGAAGTCGCCAACGTTTTAAGGAAGGACTCGATTCCAGCCGTGATAGATGGGACAGACAAAAACAGGAACGAGGAGATTGCCAATGCCAAGAAGGCTGTCAAGGAGCATCTACAACTGCATCGATCGTGGATGCCTAATACAAACCATGCTTCTTGTGATGGGAGGGGGGTATATGTTTATGATCTTCCATCAAAATTCAACAAGGACCTGATAGGTCAGTGTGGAGACATGATGCCATGGACAGATTTCTGCAAATATTTCAATAACGAGGCGCTGGGGGAGCCAATAGCAAACCTTGGAAAGGGCTGGTATCACACCCATCAGTACTCATTGGAGCCAATATTTCACTCAAGAATTCTGAGCCATCCATGTAGGGTTTACAATGAAAGTGAAGCAAAGCTCTTTTATGTCCCATATTATGGTGGTCTAGACATCCTGAGGTGGCATTTCAAGAATGTCTCTGATGATGTTAAAGACGCTTTGGCAATGGATCTAATGAAGTGGCTCGAGCATAGAAGACCTTGGGTTCAAAATTCTGGCTCGGATCATGTGTTTGTGTTGGGAAAAATCTCATGGGATTTCAGGAGAAGGAATTATACTTCCTGGGGCACTAGATTTCTAGAGCTTGAGCAAATGAAGAACCCGATAAAGCTCTTGATCGAACGACAACCATGGGAAGTCAACGACATTGCAATTCCACATCCTACCTTCTTTCACCCTCATTCAGACGATGACATTGTTGCATGGCAGCAAAAGATTATCGGAACAACTCGAAAGAACCTAGTCAGTTTTGCTGGAGCAGCGCGGCCTGATCAACCCGAGAGCATAAGGTCAACATTGATCAATCAGTGCACTTCAACAAGCAGTGATAAATGCCAGTTTCTGGATTGTAAATCAGGTGGATGTAATCAGCCTGAATCGGTCACGAAGCTGTTTTTGGAGTCTGAATTCTGCTTGCAGCCTCCTGGTGATAGTCCAACAAGAAAATCAGTATTTGATTCACTTGTTTCAGGATGCATACCGGTGCTTTTCGATCCTTTTACCGCTTATTACCAATATCCATGGCATTTACCCGAGGATCATAGTAAATACTCCGTGTTCATAGATCAAGAAGAAGTGAGGCAAATGAAGGTGAATGTGGTGGGGAGGCTAAGCAGTATTTCTGCAAGGGAAA